AAATTTCTAATTGTTATTACCAACTCACAAGATGATATTTACCAAAAAAACTTTTATCAAACAATTTATTTACCAAGAGAAGAATCACTTTTCCGATTTTCTCACTCGTTAGATCTATCTATACCGCTCGACGCTTCAAACCAGACTGAGTTCAGCTTTGAAAATCTTTTCCTCCAGATTTTATGATTATAAATCTTACTATACAATGCGTGCTATGTTCGCATACCGATCTTTCTTCTACAAACTTGCCTTATCGCTCTTTTCAAATGGCGTCTTTGAAGTGCTCGAACCGTCGTGAGCACGCCTCTCACGTTCTCGTCAAAACCCGCTGACATTTCTTGTATATACCTTAGTAATTTTACTATATTTTGATTTGATTTCTTGTTCCATTTCAAGAGAAAACTTCAGGGAAACATGCATGTCTCAAAAAGTTGCGCTGAAATAACTCAATTCCCCGTAATCACTAATAAACTTTAATGTCCCACGAGAGGGGACATCCGAGTGATATGCTAGAATTACGATGTCCCACGAGAGGGGACAGCGGAGTGCAAAGGGTTAATTAAATATTTGGATTCAATACCGAACGCAGCCGCGTATACATATATACGCTTCGATGATAGTGACCAGGAAAATTGAGCGTATATATACGCTTATGATGCGAATCGGTTAAAATCTCAGAAAATGTCGCTCGAAAATTTGACGATATTCGGAAAACGTGTTTTCCCGATTCCGTGAAATTTCTGTAAACTCGAGCATGCCTTGTTACCGGACTGCGGAATTGATGCATTTATAACGAAAAATGAAACGAACAAATACAGAACAGAATTTACAAATACTGTCGCATTATTTCCAACACAATGCAATAACAAATGAATGAAAGAAATCTCTACGCAGCTTTCGCGTCTTGCAATTATAAATGCGGATAATTCACATTTCCGCATAAAACTCCGCAGCCTGCTTGTTACAAAAATACGATTGGAACTCGTTTGCAAGACGTTTTTATTCGAAGGCAACGCAACGCAACCGTGCTCGTCGCTGTAAAGATTCTCCGTAGCAAAAAGCTTCGAACAATTAGATGCGCCGGATCTTCGCAAATATTTGAAATACATCCAGCTTCCGGCTGGAAAAAGTAGCCGAATGTCCTGTTGAAAAGAACGTTGACGTATTTATTCGGGCACGTTTGTTGACCGCGCAAACAGGGGGTCCAATTTAATTAAACCGGAGTTCCGTTGCGGAGCGAGCCCGCGCGACGAACGTCTCCTGTTCATCCTTCTTATTTGTTCTTTCTTTGATCGGTAAGAAGAAATTCCTGAAATTTCCAGATGAAGGCGGCGGCGTGGGACTGCATTAGCGATCCCGCGAAGGACCTCATACAAAGAATGCTTACGACGGACGTAAATCACAGGATTACCATCCAGGAAGTTCTCAACCACAAATGGCTTAGAGTAAGTCACCTTCTACGGAATGCCCGGCGCGACTGCGGATAAACCTATTTTAACCTATATTTGAGCCGTTTATTTTGAAAGTGGCCTAAGTTCATTTTTCAAAAACACCGAGCTAGCTATTTTAATATTCACACTTAGAAATGCGAATTATACATATAATTATGTTATATGTATTTATATAATATGTTGTACATATATATATATATATATATATATATATATATATATATATATATAATATAATATAATATAATTAATGTATAATATAATATTATAATATAATATAATATAATTAATGTTATATATATATAATATTTATATATAATTATGTTATACATATAATTTCATGTCAGCAAAGCTGAAAGAACGCAGTGACCCTTAGGAACACAAATACATTATACCACCATGTTATCAATTAGCAATATTTTTAAATTTATTAAAACGTAAAAACCTTAAATATATGGATTTTCAAGTAAATGGACTTGGGCCACTTTCAAAATAAACGGCTCATTTATACACGGCAACCAACGAGAGCCCGTTTCCAACGGACGCTATCCTTACGCAGACCGTCCAATTATTTTTCCCACGAGCGGCCGATCCCGATGGTCATTATCGAAGATCTACGGAGGATCCCAAATTTACCGGCTTCTGCTTTTCGATCGGTAAATTTCGTTTCGTTCACAGTCTCGCGTAAAATACGCGTTAAACGCGGATAACATTTGTTTAGCACAGCGGAATCTCCATTATTCCATTCAGTGTCCTTATCGAATTTCAACGTTTCAACTGTAAACGTCCGAAGTTCACGCGATTCATATACAGTAAATTCTCCCCAATTGTCCTTCAGCTCGGAGGATAAAAATGGACAATTTGGGAAGAGGGGATTTTTCGAGCCTCGCGGCTCACAGTTTTATAGTTTTGTGTTGATAATCGGCAATTATAAAAACGAGCCGTAAGACTCGTATAATCGTGTCCCCTTTTCCAAAGTTGTTCACTTTCGTTTCTAAGCTGAGGGACAATTGGGGAGAATTTAGTGTATGTATTACGATCCGTATATAGGGTGGATTCTTTTTGAAATTGCTGTGAAACGACCGTTTAATATTTTTCGAAGTTATTTATTGAAAAGAGTAAATCTACCGACTATAATTTGAAAAAATAATTTCATTCGAATGGCTAGCAATTTTTTAATACATTTACGGTACACTTTCATTTCGTTCGTGGCTCTGTTTCGCGAAGATTTAGTCATTAAATTGTAGGTATAAAATTGGTTGCAAGATTTCATTCGTAAATAGTATTTGTAAAGTTGGTCGTAAGTTAATAATATTATAAAAATAATATTATAAATAATAGTGTATAAAAAATAATATTATAAATAACAACATATAAAAAATAATATTATAAATAACAACATATAAAAAATAATATTATAAATAACGACATATAAAAAATAATATTATAAATAACAACATATAAAAAATAATATTATAAATAACAATATATAAAAAATAATATTATAAATAACAATATATAAAAAATAATATTATAAATAACAATATATAAATAATAATATATAAAAAATAATATTATAAAAGATAATATATAAGAAATATTACAAAAAATAACATTCATAGTTATTTTTAAATTGAAAAAATTTCAAGAAGATAGTCCCATGGTGATCATGACCGCGGTCGTTTTCTTTATCCGAAATGAAAATGTGTTCGACATTCTTGATTAGTATGAGTTCGGCTGTTGCATGAATCAGAGCAAAAACAGAAGGTCGGTAATAAAAAAAATAGCGACATTTTGAAATTTGATCAACGATTTTTCCTACTGCATTGTACAAATCGGTTAAACATTTATTCGAACGGTCGAACCTAACGAGTCCGAATTTCTACGTTTTCACGATACGCAAAAACAGAAAATGAACTAAGTTCCGCTTCAATATTAATCCTGCGAGTAAACGGGGCCCGCCGAAATTGTTTTTCTCGCGAACCGGATCGGTCGAACCGTGTTTAAAAAATCGGACGGCCGGTACATTTAGATCGTGGACGGTAATTGAACGTGCAACTGGTAACGCGCCGGCATCATCGTGTCCGGCGCACGTCGAGGCGCGTTCGCGTTAACGACTTCTATTTTGCAGATGCTACAAGCGGTATCTGCTTCTTTTTATATCGTATCAGCCTTTCGATAAACGGCCTCATTTTCTGTTATTATATCCGGCGAATGTGCGTGCGCATGTGCGGCCAGCGTATGGTGCAATAAAGTGAGAATGCACACCTATGTGACACACGACGGTTAGCCGGTGACCTAAGGTAGTGAAGCTTGGAATCACCCCATATATCGATGCAATACACACGTGCAACTGGGCTATCGATCGCTATAGCAGGGGCAAAGTTCCATCGGTTAATGAAAATAACTGTAGCGGTGTATATTTTTCCCTGTGCCAGTTACAGTTTTTTGAACGCGACCGCACATCCGCTGAACCCCTAAGGACTCCACCATAGGACGCGGCCCCGTATAAATGGTCGTTCCCGCGACATTAAAACGGCGTTGTCCGCCGTAAGGCCGGCGCTCGCGGTTGCCGCGTGAATTCTTTATGCCTGTGTCTCGCGAGAAATATCGGACGGCCGCTCGATAAAATCTTTTCACGGGGCCCCTAATGTTTCCCAGTCGATCTCACCGGCGAACACCTCGCCGGCGAATAGACGACTGACAGCGAAAAACGCATTGTTGCTACTCTCGTTAACCGATACTCGGAACTATCGAAGGTTCCAGCCAGTTTTTCGCTGTCGTCGTAAAACGATCTTCCAGAGCCGGCCACCTTCGGCGTGTCGAACGTTATCAATTGCTATTCCTCTCGCCGTTAAGATTGAAGCGCCAGGATTTATTTGGTACGCGCGGATATCTTACGAGTCTCGAGTAACATTGTCTTCTCGAATATTTTTTCTTTCTTCCTGTTTCTCCCCCCTTTTCTCTCTTTGTTTACGGAATTGCTACATAAAATTTCTCTATTTTTTAATATTAATTCTTTTGTAACAAAGGGTTTTTCTATCCCTACACACGAATAAATTATTTTTTTTTTATTGTTATTATTACTAAATTGAATTACTTAATTGAAGTATTTAAATTCGCTTGAAATGACACCTTTCCCAGGAATTCTTAAATAATTCAAAACTTCTCTGCCATAGATAATTTTTCCTGTTTTTCCCCCTTTTCTCTCTTTGTTTGGAACTTACGGAATTGCTACATATAAAATCTCACTATTTTTTTTATTAATTTTTCTGTAACAAAGGGTTTTTCTATCCCTACACACGAATAAATTATTATTATTATTATTATTATTTTTAATTGTTATTATTACTAAATTGAATTACTTAGTTGAAGTATTAAAATTCTCTTGAAATGACACCTCTTCCCCAGGAATTCTTAAATAATTCAAAACTTCTCTGCCATAGATAATTTTTCCTGTTTTCCCCCCTTTTCTCTCTTTGTTTGGAACTTACGGAATTGCTACATAAAATCTCACTATTTTTTTTATTAATTTTTCTGTAACAAAGGTTTTTTCTATCCCTACACACGAATAAATTATTATTATTATTATTATTATTTTTAATTGTTATTATTACTAAATTGAATTACTTAGTTGAAGTATTAAAATTCTCTTGAAATGACACCTCTTCCCCAGGAATTCTTAAATAATTCAAAACTTCTCTGCCATAGATAATTTTTCCTGTTTTCCCCCCTTTTCTCTCTTTGTTTGGAACTTACGGAATTGCTACATAAAATCTCACTATTTTTTTTATTAATTTTTCTGTAACAAAGGTTTTTTCTATCCCTACACACGAATAAATTATTATTATTATTATTATTATTTTTAATTGTTATTATTACTAAATTGAATTACTTAGTTGAAGTATTAAAATTCTCTTGAAATGACACCTCTTCCCCAGGAATTCTTAAATAATTCAAAACTTCTCTGCCATAGATAATTTTTCCTGTTTTCCCCCCTTTTCTCTCTTTGTTTGGAACTTACGGAATTGCTACATAAAATCTCACTATTTTTTTTATTAATTTTTCTGTAACAAAGGTTTTTTCTATCCCTACACACGAATAAATTATTATTATTATTATTATTATTTTTAATTGTTATTATTACTAAATTGAATTACTTAGTTGAAGTATTAAAATTCTCTTGAAATGACACCTCTTCCCCAGGAATTCTTAAATAATTCAAAACTTCTCTGCCATAGATAATTTTTCCTGTTTTCCCCCCTTTTCTCTCTTTGTTTGGAACTTACGGAATTGCTACATAAAATCTCTCTTTTTTAAAATTAATTCTTCTGTAACAAAGGGTTTTTCTACCCCTACACACGAATAAATTATTATTATTACTTTTTATTGTTATTATTACTAAATTGAATTACTTAATTGAAGTATTTAAATTCGCTTGAAGTGACACCTTCCCCAGTGATTCTTAAATAATTCAAAACTTCCCTGCCACAGATAATTTTCTATAAAATGTAAACTACCCCGAGAGATCGGTGTAAGAGTTATGGGAACTTTTTAATCAGTTCCATTTAGAATGTAGAACTTCTCGAGGAATGTACTCGCCCTATAAGATCCGGTGGGAACAGATGAAGAAAGATTCCTGGAGAAAGTTTCGGTTACGACGGAATTTATGAAATTTCAAAATGACGGTTTCTCAATGGTTAACGATGGAATAATATCCAGAAATTGTTACAGCGATATTTCGAAATATGCCATTTGTGTTTCTATTCTTTCGATGACCATTTTAAAGTAACAATTTTTGATCAAGCTTTTATTGTACAGCATTCGAAAATGCTGCGTATGAATGTTTTACGAGTTCGTTCATTGTTCACACATGATTGAACTCTTTCCCTGCTCGAGACACGTATTTCACGAACCCAGTACCAAATCTGGTACTTCGAAATGTTATCGCTTATCACTAATTATCATATTATTGCTGTTCCGAATTCAATTACTTTTCTAGCCTCTTGTTTTTATAATTCCTTTTTCCGATCAATTTTGAAATCTTACATTCTACAGCTTAATTAATCTATATAAAATTTACAATTTTTCTACATATTTAAAAATGTTAAGTTTTTGTATATATAAAGAAAATGTATAATTTTCATGGACGTAAAGAAATATACAATTTTTGTATATATAAAAAAATTGTCAAGTTTTGCACATATGAACACATTTACAATTTTTGTATGTATCAACAAATTTACAATCCTTGCATATGTTAAAAAAAATTCGCAATTTTTCTATATGTTAAAAAATTTACAGTTTCTGTATATATTATTAACGTATAAAAAGAAAAGGGGAAAAAATGAGGAACTGTGACACGCGGCATTGTTTTTAACAGCTGTAGAAATGTCCCAAAATTCTATTCGGTTGTGGGAAGAAAGGCGACGAATGTTCCGCGAAATTTGCACACCGCGTAGTTGGTCTAACACGTCGAAGAAAGTTGGTCGCGGGTTCACACTGAAAGGTCCTGCCACGTAGAGCCCGTGTGTCATCGAGCGGGGCGAAGTTGTGCTCTTGGTAAATGAACTCTGTTGCACTTGCAGGATCGTGACAAGGGCGTGGTCCGAACACATCTAGCCGAAACTATAGAAGAGCTTAAGAAATTCAACGCGAGGCGAAAGCTGAAGGAGGCCGTGAAGGCGGCGGTTTCGTCATCGAAATGGCACGCCGGCTATTCGGAGGTTAATGGCGATAGTTTTTTCGATATAGGGGATGATAAATACACGACCACAGGTATGAACGATCGAGGAGAATATATACCCGCGAAATAATCCGGCGCGTCGCTCGTCTCGTAGATCTCGCGAAAAAGGACTGGAGAGAGGCGGTGAACGCTTGCGCGTCGTTTGCGTGGGTTTCAATAAACTAATTTTAAATGATCTTAAAGAAACTTTATATAGCGCTTTAACCTTTCGAAAGTGCTACGAACGTATTGATTTTTTTCAGATAGTTTGAAATTCCCAGTCTGTAAGTCCTTTTTCCTGTCAGCCGTTCTATTTATTGAACAATCTGCGACACGCGAAATCTTGTTCGCCTTCGATCAATTAGCAATATTCGGTCACGAACGATTGCGATAGATAAAAAAATAGAACTCGTTTTAGATAGTTCTTTGTTGCGAATGGAACATCTTATCGTTATCTAATATGAATGAAATTCTATTTTAGGTCCTGTAGCAGAAATTTTAGACTCTCTAGATGATATTGAGCTACTTCAAGAGGGTGGAAGACTGACACGCTATGACATTCTGGAAGCGATTCACGATCGTCGTCTTCGAGCGTCTTTAGAGGTACGAATACGCTAACAGGTGTCACCGTTTTGCTTTCACATCGTTATTATAATTTTCGTCTTCCTTCGACATACACTTTTGTCGTAGTGCTCGGCCCACTGAGTAAGCTTTCAATTTTCTAGGGACCCTATTCTTCTCGTCTTCTGGAAATTGATTTTTAACAATTCTCCAAATTGCCGCAGCCCTTTACTTTCTGGACAGCAAAGATTATTGAACCGACCACGCGAAATTGATTTATTGGATCAAGGGTGGTTGCAGGGTGGCACTTTCTCCGCTGCAGTTAAACCCTGATCGTGCGTCGGTATCGTAGGGACCGTCTTCTGAACCGACGATCGATGTCGAGTTTCAATTCTCTTGCGACATATTTCCACGAATTTCTATAGGATTTCTATCGATCGAATGTTTCTTGTCATCAATTGAATTTTTGTCTGTTTAATGAGCTGTTTGCGTCGATGGTACATGACAGGTTGATAAGCTATGGCGCCACCATCGGTTTACCTAACCCTCTCAAGATCATTCCGACTTCCACCGTCCTCTTATCTCACCCCTTCCGGGCACATCATTATGTTTTTATCCCGAGGGAAGAGTGGATAAGGGCGCAAGCGCTCAATCCTCGGCTGTCAAGATGGCTGACGTGCTATTGTGGTAAACAAAATGCCACGGAGGATCGCGGGATCGCTGGATCACGGGACGGGGTTTATAGATGTGCCTGTGCGTCTCGTTTGTGCCGGATAAGGGGTCGCGTGTTCCAAAGAGAAAGAGAAAGAAACGAAAAGAATGCGACTCTGCCAGCTGATGTTCATTGGCGAGGCCGAATTGGCCGGCGACCTCCTTGAAATCGCAGGCATCCTGGTGAGTAGATCGGCTCCAGAGATCTATATGTAGATCGCCGAGATCCTCTCCCCTCTTTCGTACCATGATGCAAACAATGCTGTTGGCCAACGCAACCGCGCGCGATGCACTTTCAACGTGACACGATGGGACATCTAAAGGTTTCCCAATGAACTATCCTGTTTCACCGCGAATTCGATCCTTTGGCGAACATGCGAAATTCTAGTATACGTTGGACTTTCGTCAGAATAATGGAAGTTGCTAGACCGTGAATCTTCACGTTAATTTCCACTTTTACACGTTGTTTTGCCAACTAATGTTGTCCTAATGGCAAAACGCATCTTTCTTTTGGTAGAAGGTTGCTTGTGGTCAAAGAGAAATGAACATTTTATTTGCTTTTATCGTTTTTAAATGAAATAAACATTGTCTGCAAGACACGTGAGCAAAATAGAAATGGAATTCTTTGTTTAATCATTTTAATGAGCTGTTGCCGGTAACGCCATCTATGTTTTCAAAGTGTTTTCAATTTTAGCAACTCATATTTCCCCATAAAATTTCTGTAAAAATCTGCTGGTTAAAATTGACTCTCTCAAACTGACTGTCTAAAATTGATTGCCTAGAATTGATTGTTTGTGTGAAATTGACTCTCTAAAATCTGCTATTTGGGGGTTTTCTGTCTAAGAAGTACTGTCTAAAATTCGCTGTCTAGGACCATACCGCAAATCAATCGTGTTTTTCTTTACAACTAATATTTCTGATTTTAGATCTCTTCTCCCGACAAAATTATCCCAAAGCAGCCACGATTTTCGCAGTTTCCAGTGCACACTGGATGGATAGATTGTAGAAGATCTAAACTCATTCTGCAACGGAAATTTTATGAAATGATTCTCAAAGAAATCTTTTCTAGTTCCTCAAGAACTGTTATTATTACTATTTATTGATTAACGGATGTGAATATTCTTAAAGACTAAGCAAAGCAAAATACATAATTAGGCACAATGTACTGTTGCGACTATTTTTCTGAAAAATTCTGTGATTCAATAGAAAGAGAGAGAGAGAGAGAGAGAGAGAGAGAGAGAGAGAGAGAATTCGTTTTGCTTCTGAATGCGACTGTAATCGCAGAGGTATAGAAATATGTTTTCGTGGTCTTCTGAACCGTGGTATCATTATCGCATCACGCCCGACGTTACCGACGAATTTAGGCTTCTTAGCAAGAACCGAGTGTTCTGTAGACTACGTTTATACAAGTGACTAGAACTTGATGACACTATGTGCATGGCATTACTAGTTGCTACTACAACAAGTAGCGCTATGAGAATACAGCTGAGTAAATTCATGAGCATAAATATCTTCATGCGAATACACTTCTTATTTTAATTCGATTTTGTACACACTCTGGCGTACACGTTATACAGGGTGGGGCATTTTAAACAGGTCAAATACATTAGATAAAACTTACTCGGTATCGGGGTGCTCATATATATAATCTGGTATTACCAATTTTTCTGTAGGTGGAGGCGTCAAGAGGATATGAAGGTCAATTCTGTTTGTTTAAATGGAACAGTAAGTTTTTTTACTTACATTCTGATAGAGTGTTTCGAGGCGAATACAATGAACTATTATGAAGGACATTCAAGGTCACCCAAAGTCAACTGCAAGAGAAAATAAATTGTCTCAGAGTACTCTTCGAATACTTGTGTATCACGTGTGTGTATTACGTAACACGGGCCACAAAAGATAAACAAACATTCGATCACATTGTACGTTTATCTGTATCCTCAAACATTATTGGTGATTTTGAATTATCTGTTTTAGAAAATAATTTGAAGAAAAATTCAGAGATTTATACATTTCAGCGAAGGATTAGAAATGTCGTAAATATTTCTGGACTTTTCGTACTAAATGTCACATGGTCATAGTGTTGTGGTCGTTGCATTGGACTTGATCTTAGCTTTTACATTACGACGATAAAAATTGCACACAAGTAAATAGATGACATTATTTTTTGATTAGATTTATAAACAAATTCGTGTGATTATTTGCCATTTTACTGTATTCTAGCTTTGCTTTTCTGTGTCACTTTGAGTGACCTTGAACGACCTTCATAATAGTTCATTGTATTCGCCTCGAAACACTCTATCAGAATGTAAGTAAAAAAACTTACTGTTCC